AGAGTATTAACTTTTTTTTAGAATTTGTTTTCTAGAATATCTAAAAAACAACCAGCTATACAATTTTATGTTCGTGTTATTTTTCGTAATCCTTATTTTTGGGCGTAAAACAACTACCTACTTTTGATTTTCAAATGACAACCTATATTAAAAAAAACCATAAATAGATGGAGTATTAGTTAAAATAAATTTAAGTGTTGACATTTTTTATAATTTTTTTTTTCAAATTTTAGAACTTGTTTTTGTAATTTGGTTCATCTTAAAAAAAAAAAGCTTGCACGTGGATTCACATATTGGCCCGATTATCGTTGTATTATGTTTTATTTTAACACGTACACGGAATGAGAAAACTTTTAATCGTCGAGATAATGTATGTGTACTGTGTAAAAAAAAAAAGAAACTGATACTGCTGATTGATGTGCCACTCTTGTAGATAAAGAACGAGGAAGGTAGGATGCAAAAAGTTGTTTAAATTATATCTGTACGAAACGATAAATCATTGCTGACGAAATACAATTCTGAGCGAAGTTTAATAAAAAAATTTATTTCAAAATGCCGTAAGTTTTACGATTTTCGTCAAAATTTGAACTTGGAATAAAACTGATATTGAACACAATGAAATATGAAATACAAATAAAATAATTTTTTTTTGTCGTTAATTTATCCATTGTTCTTATATGATTTTTCCGGGTTTTCCCAATTAACATGAAAATTATTCGGAAAATCAAAATATATTGTCTCTAATGCACCTACTAGATCAAAAATTCAAATTGGGAGTGATTTTTAAACGGTTTTAGACGTCTTCGAAGCACATCACCTTCGTTGATTACAATACTGAAAGTTTGCTTAAAAATATTTTAAACCGTAAAATCGATATTAAGTAAACGGCTCGATTGAGAAGACCAATAAACGACGGCGCATACATATATATTCAAATAGAAATAATAATAAAACGTACATCTGGTGAAACTTTAAAAAACAAGTAAAAGCAACTAGGAAAATCAAAATTTGGAAAAAATCATAAAATTAAACGACAAAATTTAGAAGACCAAAAATATAATTATAAAAAAACAATATTATATGATAGATTAGGAGTAAATACGATATATAGCCAACTCATCCGTCCGCTTGATATCCAAACGTTCTACATTGTTGAATTTTTTTTATTCCACAATCGATTTTGTTTCGAAGGCGTTATTTTACTATATGTGTGTGGCTATTTTGTCTACTCCACAGTCACATGGCGATCACTCTGAAAGTCACCACTTAAACAGTAGGTGTTTGCAAAAAAAAACTTGGCTAACTTTTATCACGGTTAGCGGTGTCCATATGTAACGGTCAGAGAAGGTCGAATTGAAAACGATTTTGGGTTCAGATTGTCGATACGAGGAGAAACGTTTAGAACGCCTGACCAGATGGTTTCCATAATTTCTGCGGGTCTCCTAGGTCTGTTGTTTATTCCCAGAAAGACCGTATGTTTGTGTATCGTTTAAAACCACTCGAATACACAACACAACGACGACGTATCAATATGCAATATTATCACTTTTGTAAGATAATATATTATGTATAGTTTCTGATGACGTCATAATACACTCGTAAAAGGCACGTTATTTTATAAATATTTATTATTTGTTTCACTTACACCGTACATTACAAGTACGAAAATCCATGAATTTATTTATTACTATGTTTCGCGAAAAAGGCGCACAATTTATTGTTGTGTTTATTCCGTTATTCATGTTGGACCCAATAACAGCCAGAAGGTGAAGCTTCAGTTCTCGTCGATCGTATAGTTATAAATATAATATACAAGACTCGGAAATATACATATATTATGGCAAAATATGCAATACGTAACGGGCACGTGTGCCGAGAATCAAAAGATAGTTACGCGCTGTAGAGATACATTATTATGTTATCAAAATCACGTTTTATTATCGCTGCGCTTCGAGAAATCTATTGTCAAAAATGTGTTGTACGCGAGGATTCGGACAAAATATTATTTGAAACGAAAAAAAAACTGTCGGTAACACCGCTAAAACGTAGTGGGAAATATTTAGAATTATTTATAAAAGCACTACGGTGCTTGTTTAATTTTTTATTTTTGAAATAATTTTTTTGAATTCGTAACATAGGAATCAATACCTTGTTCGTCTGCACAGCGTTTCAGATAATATTATATTACCGTTGAACATTTCCACTAAAACGTGTCTCATAAAACATACACAACAATAGTGCTGTGCATTTTAAAAAAAGAAATATAATATCAATGTATGGTATTTCAGTAAATTCATATTTTATATATATATAAAAAAAAATAACAAATGAAAATAAAATGTGATATTATAAAAATGTGAGAATATTGTAGGACTTTTAAAAATAAAGTCGAACGCTGTAAATGTGAGTTGTTGTACAAGAATAGTGAGTTGAAAGTTAAAAAAAATAAGGTATAAAATTGAATATCTTTGATCAAAGATAAATAAAATATATATATTATTTTTTTTCACGAAAGACTTCGGACGAGCTACAGTGATTCGCAAAAAATAAAAAAAAAAATAAAACTTTCACACAAAAGAAACTTGGAAAATTGCACGGTGTCGTGTTATACCTATTCATTTTTGCTGTACTTTGTATAGCGAAATACGCTCAAAACGTGGAAAAATATTCTCGCAATTAATATTATATCATATTATTATTTTGGGTAACGTAGAATTTTAATTAAATATTTATTAGGTAGGTACCTATCCTTATTATTATGTATATATATATATATATTGAAAAAATCATATCATTTCAAACTAATAAAATAAAAGATATACGTTTAGAAAGAACCGAAGTTGTTTATCATTATGAAAAAACAAGATGCGAAAAAAATAGTTAATATATTTTTGAAACGTTCAACGATCGATAAAAAAAACTGGACAGACGGCCGACAATTTTTTTCGATTCTTGTCGGTGTATTGTATCGTCAAGACGGCCAAATAATTGTGGTCGTCGATTCCGAAATTTGATCGGGATTTCAACGTGTCAATTGCTTATACGCTGTCTTTGAACGCGATAAAACCCCACTATCCCGATCATAGACGCAACTAGGGAGGTTCTAGGGGGGATTTTAGCACCTCCGAAAAACCCAATCGGGTTTTTCATAGTAACGACTAAATATTTTATTCGTGCATTTTATAATTAACGAGCAAAACAATATACAGTCAACGCATACGTGTTTGAAAAATAACGTTAAAATAACCGTGATAAATTTGTACGTACCAAATTGTAAATAAAAGGTGTAGTAAACTATTGTAAAAGTCGTGTAAAGAGAATTGTGGGAGCATACCTTCCATGGGTCTTTGATGTGTCCATAATTTTAGCACCTTCAGAGTTGGTGGTCTGGTCGCGCCTATGATCCCGATAAAATATAATGAGAAACGGTTCACCATATGAAAACTCGAAAACACTGTTTAGAAGTATTTGATTGAACCCTGTCAGTGGGATAAACACAGTTTATCGAGTGACGACATTTTTGGTATCTATCTTAAAATATGTGTAAATTTCGTTTCGCATTGTACGCTCATGCCATTTGTATTTTCTCGTCCTCCAGATAATCAGTTACGATTCGCCCAGGGGAGGTGTGAACGTAATCACCGAAAAAGGAACGGTCACCACCAGTCATCTGCTCATACAGGAGGCGCGGGTCGAAGACAACGGCAGATACCAGTGCAATCCGTCTAACGCGCAACCAAAATCCATCAACGTGCACGTGTTGAACGGTAAGCAAAATACCTGTTGCAACGGTTAAACCATTTGAAAGTAAACCCGCAAACACATCCATTTTCATGGTTCTAGGATTAGAACAATTTGTTTACGAAATGTATCAAGTGATCACTCGTGTATGGCTTGATAACCAACAATAAAAACTACGGTTCTATCCATAATCGTTATGCAAAAAAATTGTCGCAGTAGATATAAATCGTTCAAAAATTAAACATTTTTAAACAAAATACATTAAAAATTAAATTTTCAATAAAAACTGAACATTTTTTTGAAAATTTCAATAAACAAAATATCCAAGTAAACATTTTCAATCTTACATATTGTATTATTTAATTAGGTACATCCGATACCTTTAAATATTTATTTCCAAATACATGTTTTCAAATAGCCAAAAAGTACTTTATTTCTGCAACAATATCATCTCATTCATATCACACGCTACCTATACGTGTAGGTAGAGATGGCAAAGTCTTTAATATTCGGATTAATTTTTTTCATATAACACAAGACAAAAAAATATGCCCTGAATAATCAACCGTTGCAAGTTGTAATTTATTTGAGTTGTTTAAATTGTTTAACTTTAATTTCTCAATACATTTTGAGAGTACTTATTTGTTACACATACATTATTATTCACGGCCGTCGAGGCCATCCTGCTGCACACGAACATCAAAGCCTCTTTCAGTCTTCTCTACTCTCTGCTACATTCTCCCAGTCCGAATATCCCAGTCCCTGCCCGAGATGCTTAAAAACATTCTTCCTGCGACGAAGCTTTGTCCTACCTAGTGGGAATTTGCCGGAAATTCGCGCCTCCCGAAAACGTCCACCTCGGGATTTGGTACAATATATTATACAATACAATACACTCGACCCGACGACGTGAAATTCGCCACTGTCCTACATAACGTCTTGACGTGTTTTTAATGTTTTTCGCAGGCGAATATCCGGCCGCGATGCAACACGGAGGACAAGCCCACCAGAGGACCACTCACATGTATTGTTTGATATTTTTCGCGTGCATGTTGCTGCACGTGTAAGTACGGCCGTCGCACACTCTCGGGTACTCGTGCGGCCTTCGACGACCAGCTGCAGGTCCGTTCGGACGGCGGCGATCGATCCGCGTTCGAATTAATTATTATTATTAATTTAATTTTTTTTTTTTTTTTTTTTGTTTTTGTTAATATTTGTATACAATTTCTTTTTCTTTTTTTTTAAACCCACGCCTCGTAATCATACATTTTGTTTTGCCGAAAATTCTCCCGTCGCCGAAAACTCCGGCGGATAAAATAACATAATAACGTACAATACCGTTTTAAACGTCGTCCGGCGCACGTGTTGTTAAAAGAGAACCGACGGTCAGCGAAGTGTAACCGGCGCAGTAACGATAACAATAATAATAATAATAATAATTCGAAAGCAACGATTTACCCGAAAAATAGAAAAAATAGAAAAACAGAAAATGTACTCGCCTATAATGTACGTGTATTTATAATATACCTTTGTGCAAATAATATTCTAATATTATTTCCCGACGGCGGCGTCCGCCGCAGTGCGTCGAAAACGCTATTAGAAAAAAAAAAAATAAAAAACCGTTTATCCCACGCCGACTTGCGGTCGAATAGGTCGCGCGGACCCGTCGTCCGGTCAAACTCTTCGACCATGATCATTGTGTGAACCTTTTTTTCTCGATTTAAAAAAAAAATAATAATAATAATAATACGATTTTCGGAATCCATTCGGACCCGACGACGAGACGTACAAAGTATTGCGCGTTTACTTATATGTGTATACGCATGTTTTATACATATATTATTTTTTTTTTTTTTTTTATCCTCGGTCGCCAACACCTCTGCGGCAAAACGCCATTCGCCGTAATTTCCCAAAGACCTTTTCGATCAATTGCTCGTAAACGTTTGCGAATAACACGGAAAACCACTATAAAAATCGTCACCGCTTCAAAAACACCCGTTAGTATTATTATTATTGCTCGCGGTCCCTTTTCCGGTCTCGAAGTGATTATAATACTGTGAAAACGTAAAGCTATTACTTACCTATACTGGTATACTTATACTTAGTTGTCATTATTGTCACTATACCACCACTGCGATAGTTAACGGCTAATGTAAATGAAAAAAAAAAATAATAAAAAAAAAAAATTTTTCAAAAAAAGGATAATAAACCAAATCGCCGTACATAGTTTATATTATATTATTACTATTAATATTTTATTATTATTATTATTATTATTATTATTATTATTATTTCTATTATTATTGTTATTTTTATTGTGAATATTATTATGTTTATACATAGATAGTTTTATAATAATACGTGTGTGTGTGTGTACATAAGAATAATATGTATATGTACTCCGCGGAAAATTCGATCGATTGGCCACGGGCGATGCGTTTCCCGTACGCGAAATAACATCTTGGCCTATTAATTACCGGTGGACTGTGCCTTTTACACTCTTTGTTATTAACGAAAAAACCATACGAAATCATGTTGTCAAGCAAAAACGGGTGTCCGGGAAGGAAAAAAGACGTTTTGTTTCTTGTTTTCCACGAAAGACATTGATTCATCAAAGACACACATTACGTAATATACAGAACTGTCATCGGCTTGACTCGGAGATAGAGTACAAATGTGTACTGCTACATTTGTTTGAATGAATTTAACAATGTTGTAGTGTTTGATAAACAAAAAAAGGAATGAAATAGGTAGCGCTAGGCAGTGTTGGGAAGTTTCTATTTATGCGGAAGGAAAATCTTCGTTCTCTTTTTTTTTTTCTTTTTAAATTGTCCGTACGTTATGATATGATAATAATTAAACACACGGGTGATTCACGAAAAATGAATATTTCCAAAAAAAATTAAACATCGGTATTTTCGTATTAAAAACATAAAACGATCAGTTTGAGGTTGCCGGTTTGCAACAGATATTGTTATAAACAAAAAAAAAAAAAAACAAAAAAAAACAAGAGCGAAGAACGGAAACGAATTTTTTTTTAAAAAGGAATTTTCCAATGGAAAAAACGACAAACATATTTTTCTTCCAAGCAGATACCCTTTTTCGCTTGCCAGGTGTTGTTTGGCTGTTTTTGCTCAAGGCACGGTTCACTATTTTAACTAGTTAATAGGTGTATGGTCTTGGGGCTGATATGTATATATATATATACTATGTGTAATTCTTTTTTAAGCGAAATAAAAATAAATTTTATGTACGGTTTTATTGCCGCAATTGACGGCACGATTCGCGCGACCGATTTATTACGCGTATACAATATTATATGAGTGGGATTATTGTAATGTTATGACGTCATATACATATATCCGATTAGGCATTTTTTTTTTGTATTATATAAACACTCGCTTCGTTAAATATTTATTATTATTATTATTATTATTATTATTATATACGAGTAGATGATAAACGCGCGCGTACAAATCGTTTAAATTACGCGATTATTATTATTATGTAAATATTTAATAATATATGAATACGTTAAATAATGAAAACGGCGGAGTAAATTGTAAATTAACCAAATTGAATAACATTTTTCTTCGTGGTTTTCTGTAAAAACGATAATGCAATATGTATCGGCGAGCACTGTGTGATTTTGCGGGGTAATTTTTTCAGTACGCGCCGATAACATAACAACTACAATTGCCTGCCACAAAGATACAATAAAACAGCTAGATAGCCGACCGTGTATGAGTAAATCTGAAGCTCAGCTGCCGTGTACCTAGAGGGCGAATAATGGCATCTATGAAATGTTTGTTTACGCCATGAGCTATGTGGCGATGTAAAAAATATTTATTAGTAATTTTTTATAACGTGACGAAATTAATAGGTAGGAGATTAATCCACTAAGAGCCAGGAGCGTAGTCGAGTGAATTAAAGGGAAAATAAGTCCCTCCGGGGGCATTTGGGATCCAATTGGTTATGAGAGAAATTTGGCGCTTTTTGTGAATATTGTACTATTTTCGATTAAGTTGCGAAAGATAGAACTGCCAGCCTTCAGCAAACTTGGTCCAAACAACCTTGGATGCATACTATTTTATTGAACAGTAATAAAAAAAAACTCGTTTTACTAAAAAAAAAAAACCATACAGCCTCTCCCCCCGAGAAAATTTCTAATTACGTCACTGTTAAGAGCGATACCTAACGAGAATACCCCAATAGCCCAATAGCCCAATAGCCCAATAGGACGATTAGAACAATTTCAGTTTAGCGGTAACTTTTTCATAACTCGTTAGTTAACCGTATTATTGTAATTCGTGTTTGAAATGAACCGAAAATTGTTTCCGTCTATCGCAGCACGAACAATGAATATTTCATCGGCTAATCAATACAATAATAATACGGTAGCTTACTATACTTACGTCCTATGGAACTCTTAGTGCAATACAATTTTCGGCCATCCATATAGTTGTTTCATAGATAACAGTTGTCAATGACCTAATAATATACCTACTATGATATTCTATAATACTATTGCTACTACACTATTCGTAGTCCAAATATTATTATTATTATTATTATTTTTTTTTTTTTTTTGATCCTAATGTATGTTCTATACCTACCTAATAATATTTTAATATTAACCCTTGTACATATAAAAATGATATACATAATATTGTCTAACCGTATAAGAATAATATAATTCTATTAAAAATATATTATAATAATAAGTTTTATTAATATTGTATATTATAAAAGAAAATCCAAAAAAAAAAAAAAAAAAAACTAAAAAAAAAAAAAAATTTTAAA